AGTCGTGGAGACCACAATTCCCGTCAGGCCACGGCGGGCAGTGGCGCCGGGCATCGCCTCACAAGGAGATCTACTGCAGAGCTGCTGCCACGGAAAGGGGAAAGCCACTGTCGATTATTTAAAATTAATTTAAAAAATAAATAAATGGGAAGCATTATTTGGGATATGGAAGTGATTTAAAAAAAAAAAGAGTTACAGCATTATCAACAAGTTTATCTTTTCCTCTTTAATCCAAAGAATCTTCGGGTCATTCTGTGGCCGTTAAATGAAACACACGACTGAGCTTTTAACTTTTTTAGAATTATATTTCAGTCATTCGGATCTAGGACGGATTTTAATAGGAACGCCTTTCTATGTATATTCACTTATTATATAAAAAAATATTCCTCAGGACGAAGGGTATATAGGAAGCAATATTTTTGTTTTATAGTAGTTATCTGAAAATCTGTATTTCACCTTTTTTTGTAAACTTCCTATAAAATTGTTAATGGCAAAGGAGTGGAAATATCCTAACAGCAGCTGGGAACACTGAAGAGCCTAGCTTTTGGGCCTGGCTTAGCACTGCAATTTTTTCTTCTTCTGTCCCCACATTGGCAGGATTCCAAGACAGCTTCTGACCAGAGACAGCTTTATTAAAATCAACAAACACTCAATATCATCCTTCTTGTTTGGATTTATGGCTGGTGACTCTATGCCTGACCTTATTCCACAATTGCTTGCTTTCACTGATGTTTAAGACAACTCAGTACTAAACTCCGCAATAGCCTTACAATGGAGAACACATAAATATCACAAATTTATTTAAAGTATTTACACATTTTGGTATCATGAATGGTATTTACAGTGATTGAACTGCAAAGCTATAAAAATACAAACCAAACTGAACTATGAAACAGATAACAATGTTTATATCATTTATATTAAATTATTTACCTACATGAAACTGCTGGGAGTGGTTGTCCTCAGAATGTGGTAAAAGTAAAGGTTCCCCTTGACATTTTGTCCAGTTGTGTTCGACTCTAGGGGGCGGTGCTCATCCCGCTCTTCAAGCCATAGAGCCAGCGTTTGTCCGAAGACAATCTTCCGTGGTCACATGGCCAGTGCGACTTAGACACAGAACGCTGTTATCTTCCCACCATGGTGGTACCTATTGATCTACTTGCATTTACATGCTTTTGAACTGCTAGGTTGGCAGGAGTCATAATGTGATAGATATAATTAGCTCTCCTTTCCATCTAAATCTGAGGAAGCTGATTTAGCTCTAGATCAGTGTCTGGTGACAGTAATGGACTGGATGAGGGTGAATAAACTGAAATTATCCAAACAGGTGCTCCTGGTCAGTCAAAAGGCAGATCAAGGAAAAGAGAATGTAGCCTGTGCTGGATAGGGTTATGCTTCCTCTGAAAACACAGGTGCACAGTTTGGGAGTATTCCTGGATTAATCTTTGAGTCTGGATGCCCAGGTTTCAGCAGAGGCCAGGAGTGCCTTTGCACAGTTAAAACTAATGTGCCAGCTGCCCATTTCTTGAGGTTGTCTGATTTGGCCACAGTGACACATGCCTTAGTTATATCACAGCTGGGTGACTGTAACACACTCTACATGGGATTGCCTCTGGAAACTTCAAGCCAGTCCAAAACATAGCAGCAAGATTATTAATTGGGGCTGGTTGTAGGCATCACATATCACCACATCCCTGTTACAGTAGCTCCACTGGCTCCCTATCTATTTCTGGGCCTAATTCAAAGTGCTGATTCTAACCTATAAAGCCCTAAATACCTTTGGTTCAAGCTATCTTAAAGACCGCATTTCCCTTTACGACCCACTTCAATTTGCTCTTTTCCTCTGGTGAAACAGCAAGGAGCTGATACACTAACCCCCATTGCCTAGAGAAGGAATGGAGATGAACAAAGAAAATGAATGGGAGTGTCTGGTTACTCCTTATAGGAAGGAATGGATATTGGGGAGTTTACAGGTTACCAATATAAAGTAGAAGGTGCAGACTATTTATGCCCTTTTTTGGGGGGGGGAAGTATGGCAGTTTTAATTTCTGCTAGGATATAAAACCATGGGCCCTGTTCTAACTACATACAGTATTACATTTTATATGTAGACGAAACAACAGCTATAAAGGAACAGTAATGATAGCAAGAACCAGATACCGCTGCATCAACCAGAGAGGAAATTGTGTTGGTATGAAAAAGTAGAGACAGATGCTTTTTGCAGCAGTCAGTACTATTTTCTTTGAATCCCTTCCCTATGTGTGTGCTGTAACATATTCCCATGAAATTGGGTGGTAGGTTGGCAAAGAATACAGCACAGCCACCAGTCCACTGGATCTGTGTGGCAGTGCTGGGCAATTTTTCCTGCTGTTGCCCAAAAGGAAAAGTCAAATGAGTGAGAAAGGATGCTGCCTTTTTCACCCTAAAGGGCATCCAAATAGATATAGGAGAGAACGTACACACCTATGGGAAGGGCTGTGTTCAAAACTAGTAGTAGATTGGGTCCCACCTGCATATTGATGATACATCACTTCATATTCACTTCTTATTCTGCAGTGAGTTCTTATAGACAGGCACAGAGCCACTGGTATACATACAATGGTTTCTAATTCCTACTCCTAACAGGAAATTCAGAAAGATACCCAGTTGACAGCACTGAAAATTGCAGAAAGGACAGAGGACAGAGATCACACTCCTCTTACCTCTCGTCTAATAAATGCTGTCAACCAGAGCCAGGCCTGGCATCAGAATTTGGCATGGTAGGGAAAATGTAAGGACCTAAAGGCCCAGAGGGCCTACTATAACTCTCAATCCTTTTTGGATGGTACCAATGCCATACAAAGAAACACTGAAACTGGTTTCTCCCAGTAACTACTTTCATTTCTTCAAAATCTCTGGACCTAAGATATGTTAGATCAGGTCCAGAGGTATGCTGATGAAATCAAAGTATCAGGGGCGGATACAGCAACTTAATGTAATGGGTATTGCTCACCATTTATTTATTTATTTATCACCCATCTGGCAACCCAGGCCACTCTGGATGGTTTACATGGCACAATAAAACAGACAATACAATAACAAGACAAAGTATAAATTAATCAAAACAAAATTAAACAAAAAAAATCAGTAAACGTTAACATAAAAGGGGGAAAGGAAAAAGATGGTGGGGTTGAACAGTAAGTTGAATCAAGATAAAGTAGAGTCAGGGAACATTGAGTTGCCTGCTATCTCCATTGTTGCCTACTGGGTTTTACTAATTGTTTTAATTTCAAACCAGAAAGAGAAAGAAAAGAGTGAGGTAAAGGAAGAAAAAGGGGGGGGATATATAAAATATAATAATGACTATGCATTTACATTAATGTAAGCTGACCATACAAAGGTTTCCCTTAGAGCTAGCATTGGTATAATAGTGTTCATAAGGAACTAAAATAGTAAGATCTCCTGACCATTAAACGATGGGTGGTGTATGTTTATCTTTCCAGCTTTGAACTACAGATCTAAGAACTTGCAAGATCCAACTGTGCTGATCACCAGTTCCATTTTAAATTTCAGGAATACAGTTTACAAGTACAGTAGGACCATCATATCTGCAGGACCAGTACCTGCAATTTCACTTATCCAATGCCTGAAAATATTAAATTAAAAATCCCAGAAATACGTGTTTCCAAGGTATATTACCAGAAATGGCTATTGGAGGGAACCAGAGACCATACAACTGCTATATCTGCAGTTTTTTGCATCCATGGGTGGGTGGGTTTGAAACCAATCCCCTGCAGATACCATGCTCCTACTGTATATAAATATTTTAAATGTAAAGAATTTTTGAATACAAAATTCACTGTAACATATCCAACCAAAAAAAGGTGCCACCACTGGACATACCTATTTTGTATTACTAAAGAAGCACTATTTGTGTGATCTTGCCGACACTGCTAACCGTGATTTGTTCCAATCCATTCTCACCACCTACCCCTCCAAGCTCCAATATGAGAGCGAGCTGTCAGAGTTGCATAGGTGGGTAGCAGGCAGGTGGCATACTGTCCTAGGATATTCTGTAACTGATACCAGCCCTAACTCGAACAACCAAGGCAGTTTCTGTTGCAGGTTAAAAAACAGATGGAAAAGTGTTTAGACATTTCATTCAAAATTGTATGCCTATTTTCAAATAAGTGCACATTTCTTTTGTTGAGAATGTGCAAGTCACTCTCAACGAACGTGACTTGCTCAGGATAGAAAAAATGAGCAAGAAAGGATAGGAAAAATGAAGACTTTAGCAACTGGTTCCCTCCTCATTATGTTTCATTGATCTATCACTCAAATTGCTGCTTTCTGCAAATCAAATCAAAAGGTAATTGACAATGAATCATTCTCTGTGATTCATGAGAAAATGTGTGCATACACCTCCTTAGCAAATATGAAACATGCAAATACTTAGAATATCTCTTTGCTTATTTGAACAAAGATATGAATATGACATCAAACAAAAGTTTGAGGGGCCCAGGAATTTTCCCTGCGACAAGCTGTATCTTGCATGCTAAGCTGGAAAAAAAAACAATGCTCGCTCATTTAGCATTTCTGGGCTGCCAGTGGTGCTCTCCTTGCAGGAGGGTGATGGGTTATTTATTTAGACAGCCACTTACTTGATCACTGTAACACCATCTAAACTTGCTTCCTCAAAATACGTGTTTATAAATGATTTAAAGTAAAAAAAAGTAAGTTTCTGTAAATGATTTATCAAAAGTTAAAATCACTTTCTTCCAAGCCATCCTTCTACTATAGCACTCTTACATATGGGTGGGCATGTTGCCCAAGAATGTAAGAGCTGCCCCAGAAAAAAGAGCAAGCAACAGCTTTGTGCCTACCTTCCATTGCCTACAGAAATTGTACGAGACAGCTGGAATGCTTCTACTGAGCTCTTATGCAATTTATGCTCTGACCTCTCATTTACTTCACCTTCCATACAAGATCTGCTTTTCCTTTAAAATAATAATATTCACCACTTCACCTGGAAACAAAGCCATCCATAACCACTTAATACACTACTATTTCACAAGACTAGGCTCATTGCCATGTTCCCTTTTTTATTAAGTTCAGTAACAGTATAATCACAGTACAAAAACAGCCATTAAGAAGCTCTATATAGCCCCTTTAAACATTCCGCCAAGCTTCAAGAAATGCTGTACTAAAAGGTGTCACTCTCCAGGTGGCATTAACTGTAGCTGCCATCTCTTGTCCTTGAATATAATGGCTAGGGCTGATAGCAATTACTATCTAACAGCAGTCTAACAACTGCTGGAGGGCAACAGTCCTCTGGCGTACACTGTGCTTTTGTTACCTTTATTTCTGTAGTCCGAGAAAGGAGAGAAAGATCTGCCTGGTCACAATAGAAAAATCAATTCATTTCCAACAACTTTCAGCTTGTTAATATTCTTGGATTCTGTAAATATGTATTCTTTGGCATTTTAATACATTTATTACATTTATAGTCACTTCCCTCTAGGATTCTCTCTCATCTTTTTTTTTTATTCACAGTAACCTAGTAAGGGCTAAGAGATAGTGACTAGCCTGTAATCACCCATTAAAGCTTCTGACTCTAGATCTCTATGATAGAAGTTCTTTTGTGTAAGAAAATATTTTTATGTCTAAGTGATACGTAAGTGCTTTTCTTGCTATGAATTCAAAGTACGAGCAAGTGAGATATAATTGTCCTTTTTTTTACATTACTGTAAACATATATCTGAAAATTTTATTTGTGTAAGAAACACACATACCATGTCAAATGTCTTACGAAGAACAGTACTCATTACCTCTTTTAGCAGCAGTAATTGAAACAACTCTAGCATGTGTTAATCCTTATATATTCTTTGTGATTTTTAAAAAATTTAATAGCATGCATTACTTGTGGAAAGCTTTTTTCTTTTCTTTTTTGCAGGGCAGAGCAACTCTTCTACCCATGCCTCCTTACTCTTTCCATGAATTCTAATTATTTGTCAAATTAAATGACAGAACTTCCATTCCATTCATCATCATATCCAAATGAAGTAATCCTGACTTACATTTCAAAATTGCTATGTAAGCATTGCATTTAAAGTTATCTAACCAGATACAAAAACATTTAGACATGAAATTTTTTATGATGGAATTACATAGGCCAGCTTCCAACATAAAGTTCAGTAGGTATAACTATAAAAATAGCATACAACTATGTCACATCAACATTAAATCAAAAGGAACTAAGAACAAAATTAAAACATATATCTGAAGAGTTTATGCAAAATAAAAATTAGCTAATCTTAAAGATGCCACAATTCTGGTTTCTCTTTTGATTAAAAAAACAGATTTACAGCTGACCTCACATTATGTGCCACAGCTGCTCATATACAGATAATGGAGTTACCAAAAATAGCCCATGTGCAATTGTTTTCTTTAATGGCTCCCTTCTCCCTAAACAGATGCAGAGCAATTTTCATAGAGAAATTAGTATTACTTCAGCTATCATCCCTCAGTTCTTCCCAACGGAAGAACAAAAGACCAGTGTACCAGAACAAATCATCAGCCAGTAGAGAAAGATGCCACAAAACAAGCTTTTCCTGAAGCTTTAATGGAGACTCAGAGAAAAAAATATATAATTTGAAGTGAATAATAAAAGTAAAAGTAAGAAATAACCAACTATATGCCTTCAGACCATTAACAGATATTGTATATTATAAAAGCAGAATATGAGGGGAAAAGCAGAACAATTTCTACTTCTATTTGGAAATAAGTACTGTATTCAATACTCTTTCAATTAAAAACATGACCTTTCCCTTGGGATTTGATTTTTTTTTTTAGCAGCCACTTCATGCTCCGTAGTGATCTTTATTACTTGTTGACAATAGAAAATTTAAGGAAACTTTAGAAACTGCTCAGTTTTTCCATTAATCAAGCAATTTCCTCTCTGAATTTCCTCCTGTTTTCATCACTAAAGATTTACATTCAGTGTTTTCAAGGTTTTGGAATAATTCTGCCAGTTCTGTTATCTCCTCTGAGCACTGTATTTATCCAGTCTACCACTTAAAACTTCATCCTGAAGTGATATTACTACTTAGAATTCAGTTTTGTCTCTTTGAGTTCTATTTCTGAACCGTCATAGAATAAGAAGTAGATTATATTTTAAAACATTCACCCATTCCTAGTGATATCAGAACTGCTTATAAGCAGGCAGGTATCATTATCACAGAATTAAATTACATGAAAGCTTCGGAGATAAACAGGTATCTGATACTGGATTTGCCTCTTCAGAAGACTTTTATAAAATTCTCAGGGTAAAATGAATTAGAAGCTATACAGCAAAGGAAACTTGGAAGGATATAGTCAAAAAATAGATGTTAGGCCTACTCCTGATTTGTAAGACAACTATAAGCCTGTTCTTCTGTTCCTGTCCCAGGTTTGTCTGCTGCATTTAGACAGTCTAACAACTTATCCCTGATGATTCAATAACAAAGTCTTGTTTGATTTCACGGAGAGCTCTGAACAAAGGAAAAATCTCCATGCTTGAATAAAGCTAACAGAACAATGCTGGAACACAATACTGTGGCAAGAAGAGTTATGGTGCACACCATTGTGAGATGATCGCTGAAACCAACTGGTATCTGCAGTTTTAATTCCTTGTTTTCCTAAGAAAGCAAAGTTGGAAATTAAAAGTCAAATGAGATTTCCATTTAAAATGCATATTCCTAACAAGCTTTTGCATTTAAATTGCAACAATTAGAAGATTAATCTGCAAAATGGTATTAAGATCTCATAAATAAATAAATATCTGATATTCTTTGACATAGTTTGACAGTGCTGTAGATCTCTAACTCAATTTTTATGGTTTTCAATTGTTTTAAGTTTTCATTTCTTAAAATTGTTAATTGTTTTATTGTCTGCAATCCACCATAAGATTTTATGATACAGAAGAGAATAGAAATATGTTGATACAGGATAGAAATAAATTGATACATAAAATAATACTACTGTATTTTAATCAAATGTTTCCATCTAATAGTCTATTCCAACACTTTACATTTTAAAAGGTTCCTTGCGTTAAGCTCTTTTACAATACAACCCTATACATATCAGCACTTAGTCCCACTGAATTCACTGAGTTTAATCCCAAATAAGTGCACATATGGCTGAAATCCATGAATATATTCCAACTAAAATAAGCCCACTGAACCAATGGAACTTACAGAAGAGTTTTCTCATCAAATCCCTTATTAATGTACTTACTCCAGTTGCAACTTACAATGGAATTTCAGTCACTATGTTAATTCTTCTACCTTATAGCATTAGAATTTGGAAATACAATTTCCAGTCAAATGACCTTTCTATAGGGAAGAACAATTAATACCAGAAAGTGGAGCTACAGTTCTATGATATGTATAGTATAACTTTCACCAATTATAAACAAGAACTGAAACTAGAATAAGCCAGATATCTCAGACATTATTTAGATAGCGGAATTTCTAGAAAAACCATGTGGTGTAAGGAACGCACAGTTTTGAAGTTTATTTTGTCCCAGTGGCACATCTTTAGACTTTCCAGGGAACATGGGGCTTCTACTGCTGTTTCTTTCAAACATTCTATAAACAGGAAGGCTAGGATAAGCAAAAAGAAAAGAAATACATAGAATAAACAACATATTCAGAAAACATATTATTAATAGTTTAAGTAAAGCTTTCCTCAATACTTAATTTAGGTTTAGTTATGTCCTTAGTGGGGACATAATGTCCGAGGGACGTGGTGGCGCTGTGGGCTAAACCACAGAAGCCTGTGCTGCAGGGTCAGAAGACCAAGCAGTTGTAAGATCGAATCCACGCGACGGAGTGAGCGCCCATCGCTTGTCCCAGCTCCCGCCAACCTAGCAGTTCGAAAGCATGCAAATGCAAGTAGATTAATAGGGACCACCTCGGTGGGAAGGTAACAGCGTTCCATGTCTAAGTCGCACTGGCCATGTGACCATGGAAGGTTGTCTTCGGACAAAACGCTGGCTCTGTGGCTTGGAAACGGGGATGAGCACCGCCCCCTAGAGTCAAACACGACTGGACAAAAATTGTCAAGGGGAACCTTTACCTTTACCTATGTCCTTAGTATATCTACCAAATCTACATGCTCCAGGGTTTTTTGATTCAGCAGGACTCACTATTTTTCTTCCAATATTTACCATCTTGTTTCCAAAATAAAATAAAAAAATCAGTGTTTCTCACATTTCTGACAACTGATCAATACTTCTGGACTCTCCAGTAAAGCAGAGATTTTTCCATCATTCTTTACTGGTCGGTGGTACCGACAGTGTAGAGGTAATAATGCTTGAAAACAGGAAAGGCATTCAGGATCAGGTTTCATGTAAACAAGGACAGAAATGTCAGTGCCTAAGTATTCAGGAACTTCCAAATCCACATTATCTGTAATCACCAATGCCTACAAAAAAAGAACAAATCTATAATGAAAAGCAGTGAATTGTTTCAGAATTACCTTGAGATATTGATCCAGACCTGCCCACCACCTGATATACAGAATTTCTCTGACACAGGTAAATGATTAATGATTAAACATATGACTTTTCATCCTCCCCTTCTCCTTCTGGTTATTACTATTATTTATTAGTTTATTTTCTACTTCACCTTTCTATTAGACAATACTATTCAAAGTACAGTACAAGGACTACTACTATTAGTTCACTGCATTTCTACTCCACCTTTCCACTATACAGTAACATGAAACCTTATTTTCATCCAGCAAAGAATTATTGCTTACATATATACAGTATAAACAAATACACATCATGAAAAGTTAAGCTACATGTGTATGCTCACTACTAAATATTTTATAACTTCTTCCAATTAGTTTTCCATGATGTCAGCTTCCTACCTCAGTGAGATTGTGCTTTTGCAAAGAGGTAAGTTCATAGGGATCCACATATAGTCCTTTTGGAAGGTGTACTTTAATTGCCACTGTGCAGCTTCCTACAGCTTCAACAGCTGTACCAAGATTTACCTTAATTAGGAGATCTCTGACATTTCAAAGAAGAAAACAATTTTTAAAACTTTCTTCACACTTAAAAAACTTACAAATAACAAAGAAAAAAATCCCTACTGTATAAAATGCCCTTAAAAGTCTATAAAACTGTATTTTTATATTTAATCTGCAATTTATTTTCTGAGGCAGCACAGTTCTGAACTTGGAAAATAAGCTCCACTGATGAAAGGTATGTGAACACATAAATATCTGGCAGGAGATCTTATTTGCTTTGCTGCTCCCATTCAGACTACAAAATATCATCAGAGCAGAAACTGAAAAGGTCCCAGTCCAGTTAATCATGCATCACTTTACTGCAATCTCAGCATGACTAGACAGTACAATAAACTGGCTATGAAATTATATGTCTGAGAGCTTATATTAGAGGTTATGTTAACAATTATTCATGAATGTTTTTGTTATGCCACAGTAAGTCCATATGCAAACCAGCAGTTATTTATTAGGTCATATACAACTCTTTTAGGAGTAGACAATGTAAAAGGTTGAGGATTCATTTCTCTTGAAAACATTAATAAAAAACCTTGCTCAGCACCTGACTGTCACAGAATTACCTGTGAAAGCCATCCTTTAAAAGTTGTTGCATAACCTCAGGACATGTGTTCTGTGCATCTATAAAAACAGAGATGGTATAAGAAATGTAGTTATTTTGGGGTTTTTTCCCCAATATGAATATACTTGTAACACAAAGATATTTCAAGTTTGACTAGAATGCCTTTTGCAAGAGATATGAAATTAGAAAGGTGTGATCATATAAATGGAATTCTGTCTTGAAATTATTGCAGACAACAGCCTTTTAAGCTAGCCTTGTACTTTGTATTACACGACTTCCCTTGACAACTTTCTTATATGTTGGGTTCTGTCCTTTTCTTTGTGATCCTTTAAATTGTCTTAAAATTGTGTTTTTAATACTGTTTTAATAGTTTGCCTTGTTTTCTGTTTCAGATGTAATCTGTTATTATTGTGGGCACCATAAGTCCTATAAAATAAAAGAAACTGAAGACACCCAGCGGCAAATGCAATATCCTGTCCAACTCTCCCTTACCACCTCCATCTTTAAACAAAAGGGAAAAAATAGGAGATCATGATTACTGACTGTGTGGCCACATGTCTCTCACCAGAGAACATTGATCACTGCAGCAGCCAGTTTCTGGCTGTGCTCCATTTTAATGGCAGGAAAAAAAAGGAAAAAATGTCAACAGTCCTTGATATTTATCTGGCCAGAGAAACAAAACACAAATCTGTGGCTACTGATTACATTTTCAGGGACAGAAACACTCAAATGCAGAGAGAAAAAGGATAGTTGAGGAATAAGTGTCAGTTTCTGAAAATACTTAATGTCTAGGCAATTTTAGTCTTTCAATCTAGGGAAGAAATCTAACTACTCACCACAGTAGTGAGACTCTCCTGTGGATGAAGTGGAAAGGCTAAAACAATTATAAATCAATGGCATGTAAATCTACCAAACCTTAAATATGTTAGGATACAGTCAATAGTGTAATGGACTGCATAATGTATCTTAAAACATAATACTACATCCATAGAGGCTATTTAAACAATATACGGCACCTTGTACAAGCCAGGCATTATATACTGGTTTTATATAATTTATTCACCAACTGGTTTCATGGGATGGGGGCACTGAGATAAATTGCAACTTACTAATGTACTCTGCCATGCACAAACACACAAATATCCAAAATGGAAGGATGTCCATCTGAAGAAGCATGTTCATTTCCTGCTGTTAACATCTCAGAATGAGACTACAAAGAAAAATATATTATAATAACAGCTTTTGTTGCATAGTTTAGTATTGTGACACAACTGTATGCTAGTTGCAGCAATGATTCAGTCAATCTAACAAAATGCTTTAGACTTAAGTTCCCATGAAAGGGGGCAAATAAGCAGAGAAATCTTACTACTTTCACTGTACAGTATATACTCTTTCCAAACCCCTCCTAAAACTATGTCTGCACACTTTGGTATAAACTATGAATCTGTATATTTGAAGTACACAAAAATACAGAAATAGTGATCATATAAAATTTCAAAGACAAAGCAATCATACGAAAGTCTTCAAGTAATGCAGAACTGGCATTTCCAAAGATCTAAAGATGCATATGCTGACAAACAAAACATATATTATCATGTCCAAAATGGTTCCCTCATTAGAAAATCTGAACCAAATTTTAAAAGCAATATTCATCATAATGTGTATATTTTTCAATACAGGTACATTTGCATTCAGATACCCACCCAGCCAATGTCAATATGGTGAATGGGCTGAAATAAAACCAGAGAAAAGTTGTGACTTGGAAAAGCAAACAAGTAGGTGACCGTGGAGAGAGGGAATAACCAGGGAGAAAGCCTCTATCAAAGACATTTGTTGTTGTTTAGCAGTTAAGTCGTGTCCGACTCTTCATGACCCCATGGATCAGAGCACGCCAGATGGTCCTGTCTTCCACTACCTCCCGGAGTCTGGTCAAATTCATGTTGGTAGCTTCGATGACACTGTCCATCCATCTCATCCTCTGTTGTCCCCTTCTCCTCTTGCCTTCACATTTTCCCAACATCAGGGTCTTTTCCAGGGAGTCTTCTTTTCTCATGAAATGGCCAAAGTATTGAAGCCTCAGCTTCAGGATCTGTCCTTCCAGTGAGCACTCAGGGGTGATTTCCTTTAGAATGGATAGGTTTGATCTCCTTGCAGTCTAGGGGACTCTCAAGAGCCTCCTCCAGTACAATTCAAAGGCATCAATTCTTCGGCGGTCAGCCTTCTTTATGGTCCAGCTCTCACTTCCATACATCACTACTGGAAAAACCAGCTTTGACTACGTGGACCTTTGTTGGCAAGGTGATGTCTCTGCTTTTTAAGATGCTATCTAGGTTTGTCATCAGTTTCCTACCAAGAAGCAGGCATCCTTTAATTTCGTGGCTGCTGTCACCATCAATGACATTATATTTTTGTAATTAGGTTGTTCTAATTTAAGCAGTTTCTCGTCTTTAACATGATTAACCACAGGAGACAGGATATCTTTAACCGAACGTTTACTATCTTCAGGAGGAGAAGGGTGTTCAATAATTTCAGTAGGTCCAACAGAACGATTGACCATAGGCGAACCAGCCCACATCATGCAGTCCCATCTGTGTTGTTCTCTCCTTCAGTGCTGTGACATCCCAAATCTCTTCCGATCGGTCAGCTTCCTCAAAGGGGTGCTCCTTACCATGCATATGGTCCCACAGCATGGGTGATGTGTCCACTCTCCTTCCCGTGGTGTCTCTCCAGTGAGGATAGGGTCCGGATGTACTACCTTCTTCCAAGGACCCTTCCCTCTCGGGTAGACATACTGTACACTGTCCATTCTAGCGGATCCAACTCCCCCATCTCAACTTATATACCCATCACTGTGTCCACATGTGTGTCAACCCCCTCTCTCACTGCCTGTTTCTTCTCTCCTGGGAAAGGAGAACTTATATGGTCCTTCTTCCTTTTCTTGTCCCCAACTACATATTTATTTCTCTTCCTCTCCTGTTTCTATCTATTCCTCCAAACCCCAACTCCTCTCTCTTCCCACCTTTCCCCCCTCCGCCCCTTCAATTGCTTGACCCCCCTTTTAAAGTCATATCTTGAACAATCGTGGTTAAGTTATATAATACGGTATCATCTCCTTCCACCCAAGACATTTGAAGGGACAGCTCACTTCCTGGTTTGGCCGCTTTAATCGGTCCCTCTTCACAACTTTATTCATGTCCTGCTGGCAGGTTTTTCTATAGATATCTGGTTGGTAACTATGAAAATGGATGCTGCACTGAACAGGCTTTCCATCTGCTCCAGCAGGGCTCTTCTTATTGCTCACATCAAACATACCATACATAGGCACACTGAATTTATGGCACAGCAGCAGCATTAGGCCATAAACCCAGGGTGCCTATGTATGGTATGTTTGATGTGAGCAATAAGAAGAGCTGCATCATAAATATCAGCAACAGCAATGTGTATGTTATTTATTTATTTATTATTTATTTAAAATATTTTTACCCCACCTTTCTCCACATAAGGCCCCAAGGCAACATGGAGAGACTTGCATATTTTTCCACATAGTAGTGCTTCCAGTTTTAAAAGTTGTGTTTATGTGGTGCTCTCAACACACACACAGAGAGACAGACACACTGACACACACAAACACACACACACACACAGAGAGAGAGAGAGAGAGAGAGAGAGAGAGAGAGTTGTTTAACATTCTGCAACTTCAAGGCATCTCTGCTTTAAGTTATTCCTCAGTCAAGTTAATCAGCTAGCATGTAAAACTCAGGATATCCAGGAATGTTTATAAATATACTATATATGTACACTTATAGCAATACACACATCTCTTCTCATATATTTTTCTTTAATTTCCTGAAGATTTCCCCAACATTTCAAGTGATGTTGTAACTATATAGAAATGTAGCCAGGCTTACAAACAAATAAATGACGATCACCTTTCTGTAACTTTGTCTTGTTTCTTTATCCTTTTAATAGTCCAAAGCTAGTGTGTCAGGTTGCACTATAGTTCAGTAGTGCCATACTGATCCATCTCGAAATGGGGAAATGCTATATTTTGTTACAATCCACATGTTAAAGTTCAATGCATCAAATAAATAATGTCATATTTTGTTTTGATTATAGACATTTTAGCCAACAGGATAAGTTTGTTTTATTTTGCTGGGGGGGGGAATAAACCCTCCTCCTCCCGCACCAGTAGCCTCAAAAAGAAAATACAGGATTACACAGACTTGCATAGAACACATTTACTCCAGCAAGTATTTTGTGCACAAACGAAGTAAGCAAGTAAAATCAGAAGGCCTGTGGCAATGAGTGCATCTTTCACAAACAGAGGAACTTCTGACGGTGAGTCAGGAGAACTCAAGGAGAGCTGGCAGTGCCCCCGACCAGTACGTGGGTGAGCAAAGCTTTCCTCTCGGCTGGACAAGGAAACACCTTTCCACAGGCAGCCAGTCGGCTTCAGAGTACAGTATGGCTCCCCTCCTCCCCTTCATAATGAGTTAGGGTCGGGAAGAGCCAAAGGCTCGGAAAGCGGTCGGCCAACGCCTCGCCTCGCCTCCCCTGTCCCTACAAACGACGCCTCAGGCAGGTCTTTACACCACTACCCCTTACCTCAAAGACAGAGCGGCCTTTTCCTCAACGGCCGAAGGCCCCTACGAAGGTGTCCACTTCCCGCGCCCGACTGGAAAGCGTAAGCAGATAGCATGGTTTGTTTGTCCGCCGTGTTTCTGCCTAACGAACCAAAAAGATACATGTGAATAGGACAGAACCCACGACAAGAAAAGAAAATGGAAGGAAGTGTCGAGTAACCTTGTGTTCTGTGCTGTCAAGTCGGAACCGATTTGCCACCCTAATAGGGCTTTCAAGGAAAGTCACATATTTAAGGAGAAGGTTTTACCAGTTCGACCTCCCCTGTGAGTTTCCACGGCCAAGTGGGGATTCGAACTCTCTTCTCCAGAGTCCTAGTCTGTCCACATCGGGAATTCCTCACACACACCCGACAAAGCAGGCATCTCTTTAGACAATAACGTTGAGGGTCCTGAATTGACAGCCGCGCGGGCGCTGTTGCTATGGTGATAAAGGGACCGGAGGAGGCGTGTGCGACGATCAGCTGCTGGGGAAGAGAAAACTTGAAGGGAGGTGGATAGTGGCGCGTGCCTTCCCAATGAGTTGAAAATCGATGTTATTAGATTATATATTTTAGGTTAGTTATAATCAACATAGAATCCTAAGCCCTCTGCGTGGCTTTTTATACTCTGCTTGCCTTCTTGTTCTTTCAGGATAAGAAGGCAAATCTAAAAAATGCGGAAAACATTGATGACAAGAATAAACGAGCTTTTAAGTCAATAATGCGCACCAACACATTGCAAAAGAAAGACAATTCCATCTCCCTGGACGACCCTCCGCCCCGCCGGCAGTGAACGTGAAAGCTTTGCGGCTACTTGGAAACAAAGGACAATGCTACTTACTCATTGGAAACAACGCGCAGAGCTCAATCGGATCCACCCTAGATAAGTTGGGCTACACTTCCCATCATCCCCAGATAGTTAGTCAAATACCTCTGGCAGCGGCCAGGTTGGGGAAAACTCACGCGGCACAATATTTGCTGTTTAAATTGCGGCCCCTTGGGTCCGCGAAGAGAGGAAGAGGCGGGGGGGGGGGGGAGGCAGCCATTCACATGTTGGGAGAACAGAGAACGTCAACACCCAACCTTGACAGACGCCTCTGAGACGCGCAAAGAATTTTTTGTTGCGGCTCCCACTACTGAAGAAAACAGCCTGCAGCCCTTCCAAGGAAAACGCCAAGGCCACTCGTACAGGGGTGAGCCTCTGAGAAGAGCTTTCGAGGGCCGGTAGCCCCGGCCGCCGGGCAGGAGCGCTCGCGTCCAAAGGGACTGGGGGGGGCAACTAAGGTGAAGCGCAG